TGTAGACAGAAATAAAGGAATGGGGATTTCTTTTCAGTCTTCTGTATTTCTTTTTGTGTTAATCAGGTATGTGTGTAGGTGAGGGTATATTGCCCGCTGGACCCCTGAGTCGAGCTGTAGCAGGCACAGTGAAGTTCACCACCACTCTCAGACCTCCGGAGAAACCATTCCTCTCAGTAAGCTGGAGGTTCAATGGGGTGAACATCATCAGTTCCACCAGCGTCAACATCACTGATCCTGGATATGCCGGCAGGATCTCATTAGACCGAGCCACAGGGTCCCTGGAGCTCAGAAACATGGCACTGGAGGACAGCGGGGAGTACACTATGACCATCACACCAGATGGAGGGCTGCCAAAACAGGGGAGGACCAATCTGACTGTGTATGGTGGGTTATAATTAAATTATATTATTATAAATTTATATAGGGCACCAAACCTTATGTGTCCTATACGAGTAAATGCCTGATGATAGTCAAATATGCAAAACTCCTTTTGATAACACATTCATAAAACAAACATGACAAAGAAAACAGGGGGTGTGGTTAAACTAAGAGGGAAAGCGAGTGAAACAGGGTCCCAAAGGACTAACATATAAATTGAAGTTTGCTACAGTTTAGGTTGTTGTTAGATTGCACTGGATTTACAGGATGCAGTTCAATTACACTCTACCACCACAATATTCATACTTGTACACTTTAATAATAATAAAAATAATAGAATTTCAAACAGAAAAATAAATATCTACCATTTTAAATGTTAGACAGTTAAAAATATATCTGAAATTGAAACATAATTAATGAATTATGACCCAATGAAATCATGAAGGTGAAGCTGTTTGTTGATAGATTTATGTCATTTTAAAGTTACTGTCACACAAAATGTTACTTAAAGTGACACATATATGTTTCACACAAACTGTGTTGCTTCTTTTTCCATCATTTCACCCAAAGTTGACACTTTTTATCGTCTGGAGCCACCATCCGCAGCCCCACAGCCATCCTGATAAGAAGATGAAAGCTCCACCAACCTCACCTGTGAGGCCTCTGGCTCCATCAGCTCCAGAGAGTGGATAAAAGATGGCCAGCCTCTTAATCCCAGTGGCGGTGTCAGCTTTTCCTTGGACAACAAGACAGCGTCCATACAGCCTGTTCACATTTCTGACCGCGGCACCTATCAGTGTAAAGTCAGCAACCCGGTCAGCACCATGACTGCGACCCATAATCTCACTGTCAGCTGTGAGTATTCACCGTGCATTCACAGTGTTTCTATTAAAGAAAACATGAATAAATCAAGTTAAAATTAAGTTAATTTAAACTTTTTTAAAGACAGCTATATTAGCAGTAATAGTCTGAATGTCCCTAACACTGTATTTTAATTGTGCAGTTGGACCATACAACGTGTTGATCAACGGACCCTCAGCTGCTCCTCAAGGTCACAGTATAACGCTGCAGTGCACCACAGACTCGGTCCCACCAGCACACTTCAGCTGGATGTTTAATGACAATGAGACGCATGTTAATAACTCGTTGTATATCATAGAGAGGTTAGGGGCAGAAAACACTGGAAATTACACCTGCACTGCCAAAAACACAGTGACCATGATGGAAAGCTCCACAGTTCTGGATCTGAGGGGTAAGAAACCAAAGAATGAACTAATTCAATAATAGTACAGCCTTTATTTTGTCATCATTTCATATATTTTACAACGTAGTGATGGCAGTTGTTCTCTTTTCTCACTAAAGCATCCTGCATTGCTCCCTGTGGGTCATCCTCAAGGTTGGTCATCTATGCACTCACTCTGAAAGGGCTAATATAAGACAAAGAGCATGTGAGATATGACCAGTGAGATAAATTATTTCTATTTGTTTGCCTTATTGTTAAGGCACAAAGTATTTTTGTATCATTGCTTTAATCTGTTTTTATAATTTAATTCATTTAGCCTGTTTTGTTTTTCCTTTCAGGTTCTTTTCCCCGATAAGTGACTCTGGATGCTTAGTTAAAACATCAACCACAGAGTACTTTGTATAAATCATTATATTGCTGAAGCATACTTTGATGCTACCACTCATCACTCCTCGATAGGATTACTTAAACAGATCAGTAATCATTAACTTGTGTTGATTTGTATCTCACACTTGTTGTGTAATCTATTGGATGCAATAAAAGTTTTGACTGCTTTAATGAATTATAAGGTCATAAATGCTTTTTATTGTAACCAAAACTGACTGTGTAAAACCAAAGGTCGCAGTGTTTCATGGCTTCACTCGGGACCTGCGAGAATATTTTGGGAGAAACTGATCAGCAGCACAAATATTACCAGTGCTGATGTGGATTTCATTTTTTCTTGAATGCATCACCACTATGTTTACAGTAATCAGGGACCCACTGGTTTTTAGTTGAGTATAGGTTTGCTTTAGGTTTATTCCCCCCTTTTTTTTTTTCTTCTTTTTTTTTTTTTGCATCTTATACATTATAAGTTGGATCTGTTATTAAAATCATTGAGTCTCTGGTTTCTCCATTTATTCTCAGTCTAGTGGAGAGCTTTAGTGGTTAAAGAATTTGCTCAAGAAGTAGAAAGTTGCAGGTTCAGTTCCTGTCTGTGGCAGAATTCCCCTTTGGCTTTGCATCTGCCAAATCAGTCATCTCTGTGCCACATTTTACTGTGAGTTTCTTCTTTCTGTGTTTAGTAGGTGTCTAATAAGTTATTTGCTATTTTACTTCAGCAGCTGGTTGACTCTTGTGGTTCATTTTAAGTTTTGCTTACCCCTGAGATTATCTTGAGTGCACCTGTGCATTCTTCCAACAGTCTCCACTTCCCTAGACAGCCCTCTAAAGATTTTTTTTTAATTTACTTTACTTTAATTTAATTGTATTCCTGTAACTAGCATTTTTTATTTATTCTCCTTTGTTTAATATCAACTTTTTGCATTTGGGTCCATATTTGAACTAAATCAAAGCACTGAGTTTTCAGTGACCACTGTCTGTGATAAGAAACAATTGTGTGTGCTTTGACTTGAGTACAGCTCAGGATGCAGAGCTGTGCCTGCATCAGTTATTTCCACCTTGCTGTGCACATTTCTAATTCACATGTGCAAAGCAAGCTGAGTTCAAACAACTTGAAACTCACAAAGCTTTGCATCCATGACCTGATTACCCAGTTGCTCATCTGAGACTAATGTAGCCTTCGACTCTGGTGGAGATAACGATATGCGCCTCTCTGAGCTGATGCTTTCTTCAGGAGGCCCAATGATAGCTCACTGATATGAGGCGCTAAATTTTTTGTTTCTTACTGTTATCATTCGGGATCTTATTTAAAGTTTTAAAGAAGCTAAAAGCCACGCTGGGAACTAGGCTTGCATTGTTGGGCCAGTCAGTATGCTGCAGCCACACGAAAACGAGGTAGTATTTCAGCTGATCTTTGTAACTTCCGTAATCACAAGTGGCAGTCAAAAAAAAAACAGTCTGAGCCTAGAGCTCAGTTTAATATGTCACTCCCCACACTAGAGTTGAGCAGATAGTCAGGCAGAATCGAGAAGAACAACATGCGGATGGTAATGCCGTGTAAATAACTGAGTTAGATAAATAAAGTAAGTCTGAACTCACACATGAAACTCATTTATAGACTCACTGAGTCCATGAGTCACCACAGGAATAGATGTCGTGTGTGTGTTTTCTTTAATCTTTCTTTCTCTTATCATTAATTAAACCTTGTCAAGCAAGCAGGTTGACAGTCAGAAGTGAGGATGTTGAAGTCACAGACATGTACTAACCATCAAACCACAAGCAAACAGCAGACATGTCAACCACTTCAACCACAGTTTTGAAAACCTTGTCACCAGCAGTAACAGTCAGGCTGCTTTCAGTCTCTGTAGTAAAATATAGTCCTCAAGGTAGTTTTACGCAATATGTTCATATGCCCATGGACACATTTTTCAATGCAAAGTCAACCTTTAAACTTTAAAGTTAGGACAATCCACATGAAGGTTAAATACAGAGATCTATTCTGTGTGCTGAAAAAACAGAAGTGTTTAATTCCCCCCCTCCCCCCACAATTTTGTCACATGCAAATTCATAAATGTATGTGCTCTTAAAAACCAACCAATGTTACCACATCTAGCAGTTGATATTTATTGTTAAACTGATGTTAACTTCCTTCAAATAAAGTGGAACAAAAGCGCGGACATTTCTACACCTGCAAATGTTTCATTTATGTAATAGAAAATGGAATAGTTCGAGCCCTACATCCTCAAAATGCTCCCACAGGCTCAAACTGGGATTTGGCTAAATGCACATGTGTTCAAGCATTTTATCAGCATTTTTCTCATGTGGCAATAAAACAAAGTCAGCATAGCTCAGAATCTAACCGAGATCACCCTGATTTGACCACACGAGGTCCCCGTTGAGCAGAACATGAAAGGAGGCAGAGAGGAGTAACCTGACATCATGCTCACTACACAGGAGCTGAAAATCACAAAGTTAAAGATCACCGTGTAATGGTTTGGGTACATTTCCAGTAAGAGTTCTGATGAATGACAAATTGGTTTCTGATGTGGCTGTGCCGTTCTTTCTCCCCTTAATGGGTAAGTTATTTTTATTTGAATGTACATTTTCTGGTGGATAGCTGTAGGCAGATACATTTATTTAAAAAAAAGTAAAGTTTCACCCTCACCCCAAGTTTCATTGTGTGTTAGTCAACAGAGTTATTTTGAGCCTGTGGTTTTATGGGAAATGTCTCGTTTTGTTTACTGCTGCATTTAAGAACTTAAATCAGCCTATGTTCCTCTTCGCAAACTCTCTTTTTTTCAGTGGTCTAATATTTCAGTCTAGTCTCCAGGTTTTAGCCTTGGACTGAACTAAAAGGTTACGGATCCCTCTGTTTGTAACTCTGTAAGTTTCTTTGAGTTTATCTTGAAAGCTGACATACCTAATCCGAGATCCTGTATGATTTGTACGTTTTCTTTTTCTGTGTTGTTAGTTCCTGTTGTTGTGTACAATGAAAATGTGCAACGGACGATCTCATCTGCTGGTTCAGCTAATTTACATTACATTTTTCCCAGGTAAGACCCAGTTTTATGTTTTTACCAGATTTTCTAAAACACTCATGCTATGCTACAAATGCTTGAAAACATAATGAATAAATGCCAGTTTGAAACCTGATCTCTTTTCTATTTTCGTGAAAAAACAGAATTGTTTTTTCCCCCTCATCTTTCTGTCGTCATTTATCTTTTGGCAGTTTTTGTGGCACAAAGAGTCGAAGTCTCACCTGAAGTGACTGGATATATTGGGAATGATGTCACCCTGAGCTGTCAGTTAATCCAAGGACCAACACAAACCAATGTTACTCAGGTTCAGTGGGCTCTCCAGGATGAAGAAGGAACAGGAAAAGTCACTCTCATTGTTTTCAACAGTATGTATGGAGTGAATATTTCTGAGAGTCCACTGAAGGAGAGAGTGGCGTTTGATAAACATTCGTTGATAATTAAGGCTCTAGAAATGAAAGATGCAGGATCCTATATCTGCAGCATTTCCACTTTTCCCAGTGGTACATTTGAAGGAACCACCAAACTTGTTGTTCGAGGTAAGACTGTAACTGCTTTTATACACTGATATAAAACAACATTTAATGTTATATATGAGGTAATATTTATTAGGTAAAATCTTCAAAATTTTGCTGACACAAACCAAACATTCAGTTTGAATAACTTTTTTCTGCTTTTGTGTCGTATTCATTTTAACATCAGAAATTTTGACCAACATCTAATATTACTCATGATTAAAGTTTCCATGTTTAGTTAAAATGTTTATGCTGTAAAACATGAAAGCTAGTTGTTGTCAGTAGGCTGGTTTAATGTTAATTTAATGTTAATGAGTTGTGGACTATAATCATATTTTATTCCGCCAGAAACGAAACCATTATCAGCAGGAATAGTTCTTGCTATAGTGACTGCTGTCTTGTTGCTGTTAGCGATCATGGTGGCCATGCTTTATTTCATCCGCTTTAGAAGGTGAGTGTATGTTCTCGTGTGTTATTTGTATGAGACTACTGTTTACTGAATCATATTTGACGGATCAAATATCGGATCGTCTTTGTGGCCAAAATTCACCATAAAGGAAGGAAATCTATTTTATGGTCAAGACTTTAAGCCTTAAGAAACTTTAGACTCTGGGAAACTGTTTGCTGTTTCTGTTTAATTGCTGTTTCACGGACCAAACAGCAATTAAACTATAATCATCAGACTGATCAAAACTTATAATTGTAGCTAAAGACCTAACTTCTCTTCTAAATCACCAAAATCACTTTTGTCTCGTTTGCTCAGACGCCATTCTTCAGCTGGGCTTCGTTTCGTCATTGGTAAGAACATGCACAACAATTTCCACTAATTGATTTTGTAAATACTTAAATTATTTTCATTTTTCTGTAACAAAACATGTATGTCTTTCAGATACGACTGGTCCAGAGAGAGAGTCGCAATCATCTGCAACTGAGAGAGACCAGGTGAGCTCCATGGTTTGAGGGTCCATTTTTGAACTTGAATAAATACGTTTTGGTCAGATACATTTAATTTATATTTATGCTGTTGTCCTGCCATAGTTTTTTTAATTACAAGAGAGCAATTATTATATTTTCTTACATGTGTTCACAGGATGTGGTGTACTCTGACATCAAAGTGAAACCGTCCAGAGATGCCTCTCCTTTAACCAATTACAAACTCAGAGAGAGCGTGTATGTTGACGACGTCACGTACTCCGAGGTCATAGTTTCTCGTCAACCCAAATCAGACACAGAGTATGTTTACGTTTAGCATTTTTATCGTTTTTGTGTTGGTTTAGTTTGTTATTGTGATAAAAAAAAATTGTCTGATGATTTTATGAACACTTGTTTAGGTGTTTAGTTGTAACCAAAGGAATATTTTGGCCTCATGGTTTCGTGCGTGTATGTGCTAGAAAAGCACCCACAGGCTGCAAGTCAGAGGACTAATCAGTGTTTGATCTAGTCTAGCAGATGCTGCTCTATCACTGCATAAGAAAAAAAATTCCTGTAATTGCAACAAAGAAATGCAAAGTTGTGTCGACCAGAGATCTTTAATATCCAGCCAGTCATTGCTGGTATATTTCACCCAGCTCTGAATCCACTTTAAATGGCTGAACCAGTAAAACAACATGATAAATGTTTAAAATTACAGAAAAAGTTATGATAGTTCACTGAGGCTGTCCTGTAATTATAAAATATGTTATAAATTATAAATATGTTCATTTAATGTGGGCTCATTAATAATAGTTTAATTGTTTACCTCTGTGGCAAGTACATTGGTATAGAATAGGTGTGGCCAGTCTTTATCAATAGGAAAAGCTGTAAATCGTATCAAAGTTGAAATTCAAAATCTATACACTTTTTGATATTTTCCAAAACTGTCCTGTGGGCCAAATTCAAGTGTTCGCTGGTTCGATTCGGGCCCCCGGGCCTTATGTTTGCCACCCATGACTTTATTCAGCTGTTTTTGCAGGGAATAATGCAAGCATTCACAATGAGTTGCTTTTTGCAAACCTCTAAAGTGTTTTGAATGTAAACAACTTTACTGGAATGAAATGAAACGCCTGCATGGTGATCTCCACCACTACAGCAAAAAGACTGCACCTGATGTTAACTCTGCAGTCTATCGCTGCATTTCTGCAGGACGGTTCAGTTACATGAAGCAGTCCGTTCTTGCTTGCTAACCTGACATTTCCAGTGTTACGTGGCCATAAAAGTAAAATTACCCCGCAGAGAAGTTCTGTTCCTGACAACAGCACTGACAACATTCAGTGAGAGTTCCTATTACTCTTCAGCAAACTATGAAAGGAGGAAGATGAAAAGAAATGGAAGATAAACATAAAAAAAAAAGTTACACAATCAAAGCAGAAGTAACTGGGCAATGCAGAAACCAGAAACAGAAAGGTTCAACAAAGTTCTCCAGTAAAATCAACTTCACTGCCTGTTGCCTTTATTGAATTTATTCATATTATCAAAGCTTATTACAGCAGGCGTAAACCAAAATCAATAATTGTAAAGATCAGCACTGTATGTTATCCAGCTTCATAACTTATAGTGAAAGTTGAGGCGCTGTACTCTACCCAGTGTCCTGTCTGCTTGGGTCTGTGAAAAATATTGCTCAATATTACTGTCACAACCCCGTACGCAGGTGTTGCGTCGTGAGCATAGTTTGTGACAAAAACTGGTTTGCAAAAGTGTCTGTCGTGGTGGAAAACTGAGCTTAACACCTTGACTATCGAATGCTACTTTCTAGCATTTCCTGTCAGCGTTATTTGGTTGTGGGTGTGAAAATGTTGAACACAAGATGTGTACACATGTGACGTCTCCAGATTCACTCTGTGCTGTCAAAACAAGTGTAAACTTTTTTTCCATAAAATCTTATATCAAATGTTTATATTTATTTTCATTGTGTAATATTTGAAAGTTGTGAAATTCAATTGGATCGATGTAATGCTTTAGAGATAATGTTCTCCAGTAGACGGCTACATGGGTGAGTACTTCTGTTAATTCTGCACATGGTTATTTGTGGTTGTTGATCTTGATACAGTTGCAGTTTAAACCTTTCCATTTTCACCAAACGAATTCTGTGGTTTTCCTTTTCTGCAATGATGAGCTCTGTCTTGACAGGAAACTGATGTCAAAGATAAGACAAGGCAGTTTAAGGAGTGCGTTATGAAAGTCATTCCATATCAGATTACCAAGATGTGAATAAGTAAACCCAGCAATATTTTCCCACATGATGAATGTACTACTGAGAATGCATCACAGGGACACACATTCATGAGCTATGTTGTGATGTGTAATAAGAAACAAGGAGGATGAACAACAAGCAAACATGGGTGTTACAGAAGGAATTAGGTTTTTCTCTGTCACATTTGTAGTCATTTTCGTTCTCTTCTGTACTTGTTTTTCCTCTCTCATTTTGAATGTTTCGTGTTTCTTAAGTTTAAAAGAAATG